CTATCCTAAAAATGTAGAAGTAAATTGCTTGCAGACCCATCGATATGAGCCATATTGTCGGTACGATGATTTTACAGAGTTTAGCCGGCTTCCTAAACTGTTTACGCAGAGGGAACACGATTCCTCTATACCTGTCGATAGCTATAGCTAAAAGACTCAGAATTGAGACGCCAATTGTGATGTCTTGAAAAAAGTGAGCACTTTTACAGAGAACTGAACCCAACAGCCCGTTAATTAACCATCTGCGAGGTCCAAGCAATATTTCTGTTATCTGCCTCGGTACAGCCAAGACTGTTATTAGAATATCTGAAACTGCCATATTGGCGATGAGATAATTGGTAATGGTTTTCATTCCCTTGCTCCTCGTAATGATAGCAATGAGCAAAGAGTTCCCAAGGACTGAAACCAGCAGGAGGACGCAGTAAAAGAATATTTTAACTTCTTTGCTTACACTGGTGTCGCTTTGGAACGGTTTGCAGCTGTATTCGTCTAAAATGGTCGTGCTGTTCAAAGACGAACCACTCGTTGTAGGTGACTGGTTGGTCAGCTGTGTTGTGGTATCCATGAGTCGTTGAATTAGAACCGAACAGTATTATGAAAATGCAGGCAGGAAGTGACACACAATTCAGTGCAGCTCCAACAGAATAAGCTCTTTGCTGAAAACGGCAATATTATCTCACCAATATTCAGTGCTTTGGTAGGGCCCCAAGTATTCGACAAAATGGTGAGTGAAACTTCAGTGCTTCAAGCTGAACTATATATGACGTCTAACCCTGACTCCTCTTTCCTCTACTGATTATGACTTGCGTCATAACATTGGCAAATTGTCCAGCCTTTTTTTCGTTTTTTGGCTTGATTACTTTTTTGTTATTTAAGTTTGTTCAGTTGTTTCAATCATCGGAGCCAAGAACACAAACACACAAAATAGCTGACAAACCGTGGAACCTAGAGATAAATATTACTCGGAGAATTGCCGAGAATTTTTAATTTTGAATTTAGAAATTTAATTCAGAATTCTTAAATTTAATTCAAATTTAAAAATCTCTTCAGGAAAAACCTCTACAGGTAAACAATAATGGGAAATTGTAGCGTGACATTAATAAGCAATATTTATCCTAAAAGACGAATTAAATTGTGAGCGGAAGCCTGTACAGCGGGCTAATAACGTGTTTCTTTTCATTTGAAAAACGCATCGATTACTCTATTGCTAAGATATCATTCAGTTTGACTTACTATTTTAATATTGTGTAGATTTGACATAAGAAGGACTGCTGATATATCATGAATTGCAACGCACGTGCAATACCGCCTGTTGTTTACTCCATTAGCGACTTAACTGTACTATTTTTTGTATCCTCTGTGCCTCGCTGGCTAGGCTACCGTGTTTTTTGAGGTTAAGATAAAAATGACGAGACAATTGTCGAGGTATTAAAACAGCGACTAGAAAATTATACAATGAGCTACGTAGGTGCGAAAAACGTAGATTAGAGCTTTAAGGTAACCGTCTCAAGAGATTTTTCGTTGGAGAACCAAGTTACAATCGCCAAGAAATGGTTGCTATCAATTTACATCGCAGCTGCAATATTTGTACTTTTCGGGTTTCTCGACACTGCGTGTGGGTCCCTTTTCCGAAACTTGCTGAAGGACTTTTCCGCAAGGAGGATAAAATTAACCTTTTCATTCTCGTTTAACAAGCTGTCGAGAAGAAAGAGAAAAAGTAATTATATATGTCAAGGGGTTAAATTTATTCAGGTCTTAAATAAATAATGATCATTATGATCATTGTTTACACTGGTGTCGCTTTGGAACGGTTTGCAGCTGTATTCGTCTAGAATTGTCATGCTGTTCAAATCCCAAAACGAG